AAGAACTACGACGACGAGGAGGAGGAAGAGGAGAATAGTTACACAGAGCGTTCGAACGCGAGCGAAGGCAGAAGAGCATCGGAAGACTCGTTGAATTCTCTCTACGCCAGGCCAGTGGTTGCCAGTAATGAATCATTCAGCCCCTGCTACGACTGCCGTTGGTACTACAATCAAACGGTTAGCGCTATGCAGGAGCTCACACCAAGCGAGTGGATCTTCCTCCAAACGAGGTGGCCACCGGTCCTAGCGCCGCGGCAAGTTATCGACTTGGAGTTGAACTGCCCAGCTCGAATTCCTTGCTGGAGGGGTTCAACACCGAGACTCGTTAAGGATGTTGCAATTTTCTGTCGCCAACATCTCAAGTTAGATTTTTTGCTTCTGCTGGATCCACTAGTAAGAAAACATTTTGAGAATATATTGCGTTTTTAAAGTACACTTTAACAAAATTTATGCGTTGCGAACATGTTTACTGGCTTACGCTGGCCAATTGTTGAATAAATAGGGCACTGAAAGGGGAGGGACCAGGTTGTATACACGGTATTCACACTCTAATTATTTATGTAACAAACAGACGGTCATTTATCGAATCCTTGAGCTGTGCGGCACAAACTTATTAAGTTATCACAAATGGATACGAATATGCGAGCTCCAAGTTCCTGTTGCAAAGGAGACAAAGGCGCGGTCACTGGGACAGCACTTATATTAGTCTGAGCCTTCGGACTCGTACAGAAGGCAAGGGTGTAGGTTAAATTATATTAAACAGAAAGCCTCTCTCTCTTGGAAGTATTATTCTTACCACCATCTACTTTTCATACGTACCAAGTCCGGCTGTTTCATACGGGATGTGTGCGAGGCTTTGGTCAATTAATTTATTACTCTATTAACTTTTACCACCATGTGTTCATGTCGCACTTCGAGAAAAACTCGATGATTAGGAATATGACGTTGGTAACAATTAGAATCATGACGATGGGTGAGGTATTCATTTTAATGCTGACAGCGACAAAGATCTCGATAAGGTCGGTAGTGCTCCGTTTTGTTATGCTGTTGGGGATTCTGTTGATGACCAAATTCATATGTTTTTCCCTGCTTTCTCGCTCTGCAGGCCCTCTCGCCCTGGTCACCCGTGCTTAATGCGCTCTGTCCCCTCACAGTCGACCCCTCTTCCCCTTCGCCCCACCATCCTTCCGCTGCCACGACCTGTAAGGAACGCTGGACCAGTCTATTCTGGCTCACTGCGGCAGATACCTCCCGCAGTAGCCTTACCTGGCCGCAGCACATCATTGGATCCCAAGGCAGCCGCTGGGAACACACAGTTGCCCGCTTAGCCCTGCTCTCCAACTGGCTGGCCTGGTTCTCGCGTGTGGAGATTGCCGTGGTGTTGGGACAGTCGAGGCAGTCGGGTCGTATTGTGTGCGAGGGCGTGGCTACTGCCTGTCTTCATCCGGCCAGTTTGGGCTGTGGTCAGGCGCCCCTTTTGGATCTTTGGCCCCTATGGCTTGTTCGTCTCATGCTTCGGTCGTCATGTGGCCTTTTTGCCCGACTCTGTACCCCTGCCGACACCACAACACGGTGCTACTTCCCACTCTCGGACACGGACGAGATTTGATTTCAGTTATGCC